ACAAAACCTTATTGACTTCCGGGCACTCTAGATAATTGGTTGCTAATTACTTTGGAATGGTCACTTTATCATTTTTTGGGAGATTGAGGTGAACTTCACGGCAAACCATGTCCGGTCAAACGTGGGGCCAATAACAAGAAAACCCGACAGGCATCCTTTTGAGCAGGTGGAGCAACCAGGGGAGAGAAAATAGCAATATCAATCTAGCGCGTAGGAGGAAGAGCACTGAATAAATCACAAAAAGAGAAGAAGAGAGAAGAAAGAAGAAAGAAGATAGAAAGAAGAGGGGAAAGGAGAAGAAGTAAGAAAGAAGATAGAGAAAGAAGAAGAAGAAGAAGAACAGAAGAAGAAGAAGAAGACAAGAAGAAGAAAGAAGAAAAGAAAGAAAGAAGAAGAAGAGAAGACGAGAAGAAGAAGGAAAGAGAAGAAGAAGAAATGAAGAAGAGAGAGAAAGGCAAGTGAAGAAAAGAAAGCAAGAAGAAAGAAGAAGCAAAGAAGCGAGAAGAAGCAAAGAAGAAGAAGAAGAAAGAAGAGAAGAAAGAAAGAAGAAACGAAAGAGAATGAAGAAAGAAGAAGAATAGAGAACGAAGAAGAAGAAAGAAGCAGACGACAGAAAGAGAAGACAAAAGTAAGAGAAGATAAGATAGCAAGAAAGAAAAGAAGAAGAAGAAGATGAAGAAGAAGAAGCAAGATAGAAGAGAAGAAGAAGAAGAGAGAAGATAGAAAGAAGAAGAAAGAAGAACAGAAGAAGATGAAAGAAAAGAAGAAGAAGAAGAAAGAAGAAGAAAGAAGCAAGAAGACAGAGAAGCAAGAAGAAGAAGAAGAGAATGAAAGAAGAGAAGACAGAAGAATAGAAGAAGAAGATAGAAAGAAGAAGAGAAGAAGAAAAGAGAAGAAGAAGAAGCAGAGAAAGAAGAGAAGAAGAAAGACAAGAAGCAAAGAAAGACAGAAGCAAAGAAGAAGAAGAAAAAGAAGAAAGAAGATAGAAGAAAGAAGAAGGCTAAGAAAGAAGAAGAAGAAGAAAGAATGAAGAAAGGGAGAGAAGAAGAAGAAAGAAAGAAGAAAGTAAGAAAAGAAAGAAGAAGAAGAAGAAAGAAAAGAATGAAAGAAGAAGAAAGACGAAGAAGAAAGAAGAAAAGAGAACGAAGACAGAATGAAGAAGAATAAGAATCAAAGAAGAAAGAAAAGAAGAGAGAAGAAAGAAGAAAAAGAACAAAGAAGAAGAAAGAAGAAGAAGAAGGAAAGCTTTCTTTCTTCTTCTTCTTCTTTCTTTCTTCTTCTTCTTCTTTCTTTCTTCTTCTTCTTCTTTTTTCTTCTTCTTTTTTCTTCTTTCTTCTTTTTTGTTATTTATTCAGCTTCTCATTCAGGGTCCTCCTAATGTGCCTAGATTTGATATGCCTATTTTCTCTCCTGGTTGCTCACTTCTCAAAAGGGGTTCTGTCGGGTTTACTTGTTATTGGCCACCATTTGCAGACATGGTTTGCTGTGAGTTCAACCTTATCTCAAAATGATAGTGACATTCCAAAGTCAATTAGCAAACAATTATTAGAGTGCGGCTCAAGCTCTTTGTGTTGCCATTGTGCTGAGCGAATGAGGGAGGAGTAGTTAAGCGTTGATCCAGAGGATCCTCTCTGGGCGAAAGGTTTTCTTATATATCTTCATGAAAATGATTTTTGTGTATAAAATTTATTGGTCACTTGTTTATGTATTTTTTGTCATGTTGGTATAAAATATATTTTTTACTTTATGAGGCAGGGATACTTCATTTCTTATATCATTGTTATAATCAGGTATTGTATTTGAATTATATAGTGTAGTGTTTCCTAAATATAGAACTGCTAGTCTGTGGTATTATTTAACCAGTTCAAAGCCAGTTTGTTGAGTACTAATAGATTTGTTTTTTACTAGTTGGCCTTGTTAACCGCCAAACATATGCTTGCACTTTGGAAAACCTTATATGAAGACCAGACAAATGGAGAATTGGGAGACCATTCAGAAAAAAGAAGTGATACAAGAAGTGTTTTTCAGTTATATACTTCAGAGATGTCTGATAAAGATTCAAGTAATGTTCTGTTTCTTTATCTTCATAATGTTATTGAACTACATGTAAACAATAATTTCACTGACATGTGACATATGCTTAGGTTCCCTACATGCTCACTCTTTGGCAGCATCTCGAGTTGAGCAAGCTCTGTCTGAAGTAGCTTCATCTTTGAGTTCATTCACTCCACGACCAGGACCTCAAAGAGCTTGGATACTTCAGCTTCAAATTTGGTTATTACTTGCTGAGATCTATCTTTCTCTAGACCAGGAAGCTGCTGCTACTGCTTCAATTCAAGAAGCAAGTTCAATTTTTCCATTATCTCATCACATAATGTATATGGTAAGTTAAGAACGTGGCTCCATTTAGCCATCCAGCTCAATTATACTTAAATACTTACTGTATTGTTCTTAAAAGAATATTATATTTGTTTTCATTTACATAAAATACCCTTAGAAAATTTTCTAAAATTCAGAGATTTTAATGAAAATGAGACACACAATCAAAGAAAAAGTTTAATCAAAATATCAGTGAATATCAAATAAAAAAAATGGCTGAACAGTTTTGCCGTTATCAATTTTTCAGTATCAAAGACATACAAAACATGAATTTTCACAATACGTAATTTGTCAAAAGTACAAGTAATTTGCTATATAAAGGAGCAAGAAGTATTCACTTTTGTGTTACCAGATCCCACAATAAGAGTTTTTCTATCGAAAAATTTCTCCCAAACCATTACAAAACTTTCTCTTTAATACGGAAGTACATAGTAGGTGAGAAAGTATACAATGGATTTTTAAATGTCACCTACTTTTTTTAACTACTGGTTTTGCAAAACTTTTGCTTTATGGCTTTTTTTTCTTTATTTTTATTTTTTTTTTTTAATTTTTATTTTTTTTATTTTTTTTCTCCCTTCTGAAAAAGGCTCCAATTTTTTTTCAGATAGAGCATATGATGCTTTTAAAAATGGAGGAGCCATTGGCTCCCATGGGGCTTTACGGCAAATTTTGAATTTCAGAAAATTACAAAAGTTAGAATTAATGCGAGAAAGTTTGTGCTTTGAAGTACTCCTAGTTCTTTAAATTTTTGGCTCATACCGGCGTATAGATAATTTACTTGTATGTGTTGTATTGTGTTGGAAGTTCTTCAATACATTACTGAAGTATTAGTAGGATACAAGACACAATATAATAATATTGTAAAACCATATAAAAAATTTGTGGTATTGTAGCACTACTTGTTACTTTCTCATAAGTATATAATTAAGAGAAATGTTATGTAATGCTGCAAAACTTCTGTGTTTAGATCCTGATGGAAACACACATTTCATATGTATCTGTAAGCTTGACACTGAATTATTGAGATATCTTTCTGTCCTGACTTGAACAATACGAGATCCTAAACTGGGCACAAATTTTTTCTGAAATTGGATATTCACTTATCGATCTGTCTTAAATTAAAACCTTACAAAGACCTACTAGGCTAGCCATACACTTGCTTGCTAGGGCTACTACAGGAGATATTGTCCATTTAATTTAAAATCACAAATATCAGAAAGTATAACTACTCAAATTACTAACAAAACATCAATGTATTCCTCTTTTTATGATCTGTGCATTGCTTCTGAAGAAACAGGTGTAGTTCCATTCAGAAAATCAAAGATGAAAAAAAACTATTCTCAAAAAATAGAAATATTCTTAAGGCATATTTCTTGTTCAATGATTCTGCATTGTTGAGCAGTTCTGCATTCTTGTGCGTGTTTCTGGGCATATGCATTCACATTAGTTGCACAAGTCAGATGTGCGTTAAAACTCGGAAATTTTGAAAATGTTTGCAAATGTTCAAATTTTTTTCGGTTGTCTAGTCCTTATTGAAAGAAGGACTTTTCTGTAACTTTTTCTTGTTTAATATTTGAAAGGTGCCTTCTGTTCCCCTTCTGCAGAGGCATGGTTTTATGGTAGTTACACTACATATGAATGGCCCTTTGAAAATAATTTATTTAATTACAAAGTTCTTTTTCTGATATTTCAGTGTTTTCAATTAAATGGGCACTCTTATTTTGAGAAGTAAATAAAAGGGTAAAGTAAATGTCTGATGATGGTTTGTCTATAAAAGGTTCTTATTCTTATTTTATCATGTATTCAATTATTTTTATTAATTGTAAATTATTTGTATGTTGTCCCATCTTACCTTGCAAAAATGATAGTGTGTTACTTCGATGACTCACATTTACATGTGAACACACATCAATTTTTGGGTGTTTGGGGATGTACAGAATGGGATTTTCATGTCTAACCTTTCTCACGGTTCACCATAGCTCCATTATTAATTTGATCTCCAATGATTCATTATTTGATCCGGTTTTGCAATTACCAATATTGTCCTAGCTTGTCACCCCTTTACACAAGACCCAATACCCTGTACACAATGGAAAGAGATCTTTCTTATTCATTTACTAAATTTAATGTTTCTCTAGGTTTATTAACTTTATTCATATGATTTTCTTCTTATTTACAGAGAGGTTTGATCCACGAGTACAAAAAAGAATTTGTTGAAGCCAAACTTTGCTTCCAAAATGCAATAGCTATAAATCCAACTCATATAAAAAGCTTACAGCATTTGGTTTGTATTTCTGTAATTTTTTCTTTACATTTACATTTCTTTATATAATGTGTGTAATCAAAATAAATTAAAATGTGGCAATTCTAACAGTGTACAATAGGCATGTCAATCTGAGAGTGCCTCAAGGACCATAAGTATGTCTCTCATTTGTGTTCTTGTGAGGGCCACAGCAGACAATTATGTCTCTGTGTGTGTCGGGGGGAGTTAAAATAAATGTCTGGTTGAGCACTGAAGAAAAAAATTGAGGCTAACTTTTATAACCTTTTTGTAGACTAGATGTGCTAGCAAAGGGCTCTGTATGCACCCCTGGGAGTGGATGTTTGACTTCCTTTTCTGAGAAGAAAGTGATAAGAGAGAAATATTAAGTGCAGGTATTAATAACTTGGCTTGTCGGTTATGAAAAAGGTGTATCAGTTTTTGTTTTATTTTTATTATTATATTGCTACATTATTGTTTCCACCAGGGCTGAACAACATCCTAAATGCCTTTATGATATTCTGTCGCAACAAGTGTGGCAGCACTGTTTCATTTAATCTTGCAAACAATGTCAGAGTACAAGCTGGTTTGTGGCTGCTTACCGAGGGCATGGAATGTGTAGGCCTTATCTGCTCTGCTTTACGTCTCAGAAATACAAATGTGTTGTCTTCGTATTCCTTCATTCATTACTCTTGTACAATACAATTTTTGACTTGTGTTTGTACAGTTTGAGAAACTTCGAATTGAAGGAAGACTCCTTTGTTTTCATTTAATAGAATTATAAAAATCTTAAATAGCAAATACCTTGAAATTCAAAATTATACCTCCATTAAAATTTTGAAAAGCAAATAATTTGATGGTGTTTAAGTGCATTGTTTTTCATTCAAAATGATTCAAATTTGATTCTTTGCTTTTAGGGATTAATTTATCATTACCTTGGAAGTCAAAGGTTAGCAGAAAAAACTCTTAGGGACGCAGCAAAAATAGACCCAGCTTCTCATCAAACATGGTGAGTTTTCTATTTTAAATTTAACCAATGAATCTTATTTTCACATTTTTTGTGCTTTCTTCAATAATCATCATCATCAATCATTTTTTGTGTAGTATAGATCACTCAATGAAATGTCAAACCATGGCAAATATAATTAAATAACATACGATATATCAAAATTTCATTATGAATGATTAAGATCCAAAATGTCAGCACTGCTTTTGTCGTATCTACTGAGATCTGTCAGCTAACTACACATTTTTAATACTAAAGATATACAAGTAAATTTCATATTGGGGTTTATTCAAGACATGTTTACTAACTCTGTTCTTGGAACTCAGGAAGGAATGATAATAGATCACACTCTTTTCATTTTCAGATGTATAGTTCTTGTTTATCTTCAACATCAGTTTTGAAGTTACATGTGCTCTTAATTTTTTTAAATTGTAATTATTTCATGAGTGATTTTGTTCCACAGGTACAATCTCGGCCGCGTTCTCGAGTCTTTGAATGAATTTGAACTGGCAAGTGACTCAATGGCCACTGCATTGGAAGTGGAAACATCAAATCCAATTCTTCCATTTACTTCCATTCCATTGACATTTGAATAGTTTGAATCTAGTATATTGATTGTTGAATGGTTATCTGATCTTCTGTATCTATAATATGTTGTATGGTTATTTGAACTTGTGTTGTATAATTTGTTAAATGCCAATTGGCATCTCCTAAATGAATTATTTTTTAGAAAATTTGTGTCTATATTTATTTTATCCTGTTAGAATTGTTTATATCTCTAGCTCTTTATTAGAATGGAAAAATTTGAATTGAAGAAGGGGAGATAACAAGCTATTAGTATCACAATCTTGAACATATATTTCTGTGAAACAGAGCAGTGTTGCTTATTAATGAAAAGCAGGATTCTTTATCATTTTTGTTACATGGACTCCTGTGACAGTAATGCTGAGGTCACTGACACACGCCTCAAAATAGTATTGTTTAATGCCGAAACTAATCAATTCATGGAGCTATTGTCAACTAGAAGCCAAATGTAATTAAAGGAAAATATGTTAGTTCATCAAAATCCTACTGCATCTTCAAAAAGTTCAAGATAAAGCTCTAATTATTTTTCTCCCCCGGGTTGTTCTTTTTGTTCCTTAGCATGTGAAAACTGTTTGATTTAGCATCAAAACGTTTCTGTTACGCCATGGCAAAAATAGTTTCAGAATCAGTTCCTACAACTTATTGAGAAGCAATGAATGAATGTAATCATGAATGGAAATAAGTGATAAAGAGAGAATCAAAAGGTTTAGAAAACTACTAGCAAACTTTGAATGTAATTGATCAACATGAAGTGATGGTGAACAAAATATTATAATGAAAATTGTTTTTTAAGAAAATATAAACTTAAGGTGGCATTAGATCTGAAACATGACATGGATGAAGCAAGTAATTGGAATGGAATGTTCATGCAGACCCTTAATGAAATTTAAAACTTTTTCTATCCTACTTTCTATAGTTGCAATGAATGATTACTTTGTTAAAAATGTAGTTTAGGGTGGCCCTTATATTGCAAAAAATTGCTAATTAGTTTGAGCTCACCCCCGAATATTTTCCATTGGATCAAATGTACACAAAAATAAAATTGCATCTCAATAGGCCAATATCAATTGTGCAGACTTAAGCATGAAAGTTGAGTGGAAAACTACTGATACATGTTTAATTTATAATTTTATTTTAGAATTTAATTCATTTTCACTCTTCAGACTGTGCTATGGTTTTTACTTTTCTTGTGTTTTTTATGTTTCTTGTAATATGGGTACAATGAACCATGTTCTTCAACAACAGAACAGAAATGCTTTCACTCCTCATCTACTGTCAGTAGTGCATGAAAATCTTGCATTAACTTAAGCCTTTTCAGCGCAGTTATTCACAGCTTTCAACTTTATAAATATCTTTTGATCTTCTAAATACCAAAATTTGCTTGTCCAGATTGAATGACATTCTGGAATAAAACTAGAATTCATCTTCAGGAAAGAGAACCAATATCTGCTTTTGGTTGAGACAAAGACAGCTATTGTTTACAATGAAATGAAAGTTGAATTGAATTAGGTGATGTGTTGTATATTAACGAATTAATAATTAAAGAACTGTCATTGGAATATAATTGCGATTACCATATTATTATTCTCCATTCAATTTTCCACAATGGTTTCACATGGTTACAATCAACACAAAGACATTTTTAAGGCTTTCATTACGCATTTTACATTCAAACACACATTGTAAAATGAGTTTGTGACACATTGACAGCACGGAAAGAACAATTTCGTGTCAAAATTTTCTTCAAGAAAGACAAATGCTCCTTTCAAACCTCAAGTGATTGATGCAGTTGTGTCACAGCAAAAAATTTGTACCTTGTCTTCGATACCCCTGTGGGCGAACACATTTCAAACAGCGTTAGTGTGCTCTTTACCAGCAAAATTCCACAATTTTGGAAACGCGATGAGCTACTGACTATCCCCAAATGTAGCGACAATTAGAAGTCATTCTTCTTTTGGGTCCCTCATATTTAATGCAGACAACTGTTTACCATCCAAATGATCACTGAGAATTTTACATAAATTACTCTTAAAAGCAGATTTAATTGTTTCTTAACGTTCTCTTCTCTTCTTAATAGAAATTTTATTATTGTAATAACATTAGATTAGCGACCTGTAAACACGTGTGATATGATCAAACAAGTGTGATACTTGAATGAAAATTGGAGCAAAAAGGTACCTACATGAATGTTCCTGATGGTGTGAGTGTAAAACGGAGTAAAGTGTTTAAGCAAAACAAAAAGTACAAATCACGGTAAATGTAAAACTTTTGAGAACCAAGTTCAACTCTTGAGAATAGTGATTGTATTGTTTCAGCATTTGTAAAGCTCCCTGATTTCATTATACTTCAAGACTTCTAAGTTTTCTACAGGCACTTCCCACTTCTAATTTTCGGCTTGCATCCATGCTGCTCGAAATTGTAAGATAGTATATCCCAACTTTCTATGTCATTTTTTTGATAATATTGAGTCTTGTGTCTTGGATGTTTTCTGCATAACTTCATTGAATTGTTGATCTTTAAATGATGTGCACTTTTTAAAATATTGTTGTTGACTGAAATCACTAAGAGGAAGAAAAGTTTCGGTGTTTCTACTAGCTTCTCTCTCACTGACCTTTTCTGCATACCGAACGAACACTCATGTTTGCCATTCGTGGCGACCACCAACAATCAATCAACCTATTTATGGGTAGCAAGTCCTCACCCCTTCCCTCTTTCTCAAGGAAGAAGATGTTGATTAAAAAGATTGTTGACAAAGTTTTTGCGTTGTAAAAATTGTAGAAGTGATAAGACCATGCATGCTCGTAAGGTCATAGATAGGAGGAGGCCAAAAAATGAACACTGCAATTGCTATAAATTGTGCAATTCATACAGAACACCAGGAAAGTTGTTCATCAGCGTTTAATAACCATTCTTTTTGTCGGGTGTCTTTCCAATGAACAAACCAAGAAACTTATAAAAGTCAAGGAAATTGCAGGCTTCCAGGTTCAGTTATCGACCCGCTGAACTTTAAAAGTATCTTATCACCCTTCACTTCTCTGTGGGGTTGGTAAATTATGATAACTTCTCTGCAGAAATAGAGGAAGATCTGAAAAACTTTCAGTCAGAGAAGGCTACCGATTTTTGCATGGTTTAGCAGAAAGTGAGACGGGTACTCACCCATCACCACCACCTCAACTCTGATCATGTTTGACTGTCGCCTTCTAGAGAAGATTTCGTGTGGTTTTTTCAACCTGCATGGGACAGTATGTGCCGAATCCTCTGCGCTGTTTTCAGAGGTTTGACCTTTCCTAGCAGCGTTGGTTAGGCAATGTAATGTGGCACAATGCTGTGTGAATTGCGGAAAGCATACAGAGATCAGATCCAGAAGTCTGCTCTGGAGATCATATACTAAATATCCCACATTTCTAAAAGAACGAGATATCCAGAAATTCAGAATATCGGGAAAAGTGCGACGCCGCTACAAATTTCATCAGTGTAAAACAGGAGAGTGTAAAGCCTTTTTGGAGAGCTTATATTTTCTCACTTTCATGCTATAGCCCCCTAAAATAGTATGGCGAATGGTGCGGTGCGACCAATCAGAGAAAGACTCCCCTCACCGACTGTTCTAGGGTAGCTGAAAAATGAAAATCTCTTTATCAACCGAGAATATATAGTTGATTGATTACTAGCGATTCTGGGTGCGTCAACTGCTAAGGTCATTTGTCTCGTTCGTGTAGTGTATATGTTTTATCGGGAGATGGCTGTGATCATGTCCTGCTGGGTGGAGACATCCAGCGCCGACCTGCCGTCGGCTAGTGGGGTTTCCTCAACCAGGTGTCTCCCACCAGCTGGGCGCCGCCCCATCCGGGAAAAGCTCTAAGCTCCCAGCCGGTGTCCCAGAGCGTGTGGTACTGTCGCGCATGTGTGTGTAAAGGGGTAGGATAGGAGAATTGGGATGTGAGGGAAAGATCGCGCGCCGTCCGTGACCCGTTTGGTAGGGTATTGCTCCGGCATTCGCCTGGTATTGATCGGAGAAATCACGGTACACTATCAATCAGAGCAGCCAGCCGCTAGAATTCTCCTCTAGGAAGCGACAGAACGTGACCCAGCTATCTGGCTAGTGTCGAAAATCCTGCCACTGTGGGTCTCGAACTTCAGGATCTCCCAGACAGAGGCACTGCAGTGATATTAGCTGTTGCCCTGAGCCACCTCTCCTGGCGAATATATTTTGAAAGAATTGGCTTCTCATTACTACAACATCTCTATTTCCTCACACTGCACCTTCTCAATACTAAGACAAGATAAGAGATATTTACCTTGAAGTTTTAGAGAAGTCACGAGGATGCCTTGGCCTTGTAGAAGAATGGGCCTTTTGTTTCGACACCATCTTCAGGTAATGCATCCTTCTGCTTTCTCAGAATTTTAGTGGACGATTGTCATTCTTCTTGGTTGATTTTCTATCTTCAATGTCTTCTTGCGCCCGCCTTCGTGAACAGTTATCTTCCAGCCATAAGCTGTAAAATTGCGTCCCCCTGTGATTTATTCTGTGCGTTACTCTATTTGCTATTACAGCGCCAGTTATACGAGAGCCAGTGAAAGCATTACTGTTGACGTTGCCATTGTTTACTCTTCCAGGAGCACACGAGTTAACGAGAGGCAATTGCAATTTTCCTTAACCGATTGTAAAAATAGAGTGGTAAAACTGGAGTTAAGTTCTCTACCTCAAAATTCAGTTGCACGCATGTCTGGGAAATTCATCAACCCCATAATCACCCAGATACTTTTCTTGGGGGCCACCAACTTCCTTTTGTCGAATCTGCAACTTTCCTTGGGTTTACATTCTACAAGAGCATGACTTGGAGTAACTACGAGTACGAGAAAGTACTCATACATTCTCAAACTGAAGAACGTATGTGTGACACCAATGAGCCCCTAGTGGTT